TTTTTTGTATTTTTATGATTTGTGAAACACAATAGTTGACATTTGATATTTGACAAAAAGAATAATTAAACAAAGCTAACAGATTTTTTCCGTTACACGCAGTGCTGTATCTTTAAAAAGGCTAAAAATGCCTTGTTAGCCTCTTTCATGGGAGACCCGAGAGCTGGCCAACTGGCCAGCTCAGGACCCCTTGAGGCGTTCAGCTGCTAATATTATGGGCGAGCGGCAAGGGAGCACTGTCCTCTGAGCTCTTCCTTCTCAGCCCCTCGTGCGTACTGCAGTGATGCCGGGAGCTGGAATATGACGTCACTCCGGCTCCCAGCATCACTAACGGGGGCAAGGGAGCTGAGCAGAAAGATCACAGTTCCCTCGCCTCTTGCATGTGCTGACTGACCGCCAGCCTGTGCCCGCCCAGCAGCCGTTAACACCACTGGACCCCAGGTAAGAATTCACTCTTACAAATCCACTTAATTTGTGTGTGAGTGTGAGTGTGTCAGTATCCAGGTGTCAGTGAGTGAGTGAGTGAATGTGTGTGTGTTTGTGTGTGTCTGTCAGTGTGTGTCTGTGAGTGAGTGAATGTGTGTGTCTGTCAGTGTTTGTGTGTGAGTGAACGTGTGTGTGTCTGTCAGTGTGTGTCTGTGAATGAATGTGTGTGTGTGTCTGCAAGTGTATGTCTGTGAGTGAATGTGTATCTGTTAGTGAGTGTATGTGTGCGTCTGTTAGTGAGTTAGTGTGCCTGTCAGTGTGTCTGTGAGTGAATGTGTGCCTCTGTCAGTGAGTGCCTGTGAGTGCATGTGTGCATCTGTCAGCGTGTGCCTGTTAGTGAATCTGTGTGTGTCTGGCGGTGTGTGCCTGTTAGTGAATGTGTGTGTGCGCCTGTTAGTGTATGTCTGTGAGTGTGTATCTGTTAGTGAGCGTATGTGTCTGTCAGATTAGGCCTGTGAGTGTGCATCTGTTAGTGAATGTGTGTGTTAGTGAATGTGTGTGTCTGTCAGTGAATGTTTGTCATTGTATGTGTATCTGAGAGTGTGTGCCTGTCAGTGGCTGTCTGTCAAACTGCGTGTTCATGTTAAACATGAAGAGGTGTGGCCTTGACAGGAAGGGGAAGGCAAAATTTCATTGGGGGGTTGCCCCAGTTTCATCACGCCTAGGACAGGACAAATCTAAAATATACCACTAGTCACTAGTTACACGTATTCTCCCCACTGCTAGAAAATTATACACTTATAGATTTATAAATTCTTAAATTGTTACTCCAACCACCATGTTCACCACTTTTGTGCCAGGGGCTGATTACACACCAGATTGGCTAATATGAATTATGTGCAAAAAATACATCCATACTCAGCGCTCACTGCATTCTGGCAATGGACATATAGAGCTTCTGCATGGAGAAGCGGTTTTCTTATTCCCAAAAAGCCCAGCAATGCTCATTTTTGTTTTTTGAAAAGTACATTTCCCACCTCTCTACCTGCTTACCCTTCCTCTCGCTGGCACAGTTTGCACGCATGCGCTCTGAGTCGGCAAAACAGTCCAATCATGGGGGACGGAGCCTAGCTGCTGCACGACATGGACGCGACTCTCCATTGCTCCTACGAAAAGGTGTAAAGTCCGCAACCATCTGCCACTTCAGTGGGTCCCAGGCATACACACAGGAGTGCCTTGTTACCCCGGCACCACAGGCTATATGCTGATGCCCTTTTTGTACATACAGAAGGGCATGAAAACCTGATGTAAAACCCGGGCCTACCTCACGCTCTCACCGGCGTAGATCATGACGCGATGCCTGGTACAGTACACGGAGCTTACACACGAGGTACAATCGACACCTGAGAGGCCCCTGTTCACCGACCACAACATGGTGAGGAATTCCCAAAAAACCCAGGATGGGTTCCCCAAAGAAACCTGGGACATAGGGACTTTATTGCAAAATGGTGGCCGGTCCAGACCTGACATCCTGTCTCCACCGCCCTGACCTGACTTCAGAGGGGCAGGGAAGCTCCCATCAACCTCAGCCACCTCTGGAACTACAGGATGAAGGGGAAGACCTAGCGCCTACCATAAAAGACCTAGCACTTACCAAGCAGCTAATAAGGGAGATGAAGCAAATGGTAGATGCTGACATGAACCTAGCTCGAACGGAGATACAGGCCGTGTCCCAAAGAGTCCAGGCCTCAGAGGAAGATATCATTGATATTCTACAGGAGCTGAAAACAATTGAAGATACCCTACACCAGCTACAATCCTCTGACTCTGCGTTCCAACTCAGACTTGATACTATGGAAGACCGCAACCGGTGGATGAACATCAAAATCTAGGGTATACCGGACTCTGCAGGCCCGGCAGAACTGTCTCATTACCTACGGAGGTTAACTGCTACACTGTTGCCTCACACCCAGGCCAAGAAATTTGAATTCGACGGACACTTCAGAATCAAAAAGGCTAAACAAGCACTGCCTGCATTCCCGCGGGATGTATAACATCTGTTTTGTTTCTTTTCTTACCTAATTGAATGTTACTTGTATACGTTAATGAAGAACCAAGTATTGTGCCTTCCTTAGTGTGAGGGAGCAGTTCCGCACCTGCAACGACTCACAATGTTTAACAACTACTGCCTGACTAGATCCCCCCCAGTGACCCCCATGGGTAAGGGGTCGTCACTCAACTTAGCTTCGGTGGGACGGAGCCCTACTACACGCCCCAAACACGTTCGCTAGGAGATGGACAGGGCATACACTACAGCAATAAACCACAACCCACACACTGCAACCCAAGTAGGGAGACGCTACCAGACGAATAACAGCACTTGACTTGACTTAATCAAAAAGTATTCCAGGAATGCAGTGCAGCACTGGAACATTTCATATAGAATGTTATTCGATCACATTGTTTTTACTACACTGAACAAAATTATAAACCCAACACTTTTGTTTTTGCCCCCATTTTTCATGAGCTGAACGTAAAGATCTAGGACTTTTTCTATGTACTCAAAAGGCCTATTTCTCTCAAATATTGTTCACAAATCTGTCTAAATCTGTTAGTGAGCACTTCTCCTTTGCCGAGATAATCCTTCGACCTCACAAGTGTGACATATCAAGATGCTGATTAGACAGCATGATTATTGCACAGGTGTGTCTTAGGCTGGCCACAATAAAAGGCCTCTCTAAAATGTGAAGATTTATCACACAGCACAATGCCACAGATGTCGCAAGTTTTGAGGGAGCGTGCAATGGACAACAAACACAGGTGCATTTTTTTGATGGCATCCTATAATGAGATCCTGAGGCCCATTGTTGTGCCATTCATCCACGACCATCACCTCATGTTGCAGCATGATAATACACGGCCCCATGTTGCAAGGATCTGTACACAATTCCTGCAAGCTGAAAACAGTTCTTGCATGGCCAGCATACTCACCGGACATGTCCCCCATTGGGCATGTTTGAGATGCTTTTGATCGGCGTATACGACAGCGTGTTCCAGGTCCTGCCAATATCCAGCAACTTCGCACAGCCATAGAAGAGGAGTGGACCAACATTCCACAGGCCACAATCAACAACCTGATCAACTCTATGTGAAGATGTGTTTCACTACGTGAGGCAAATGGTGGTCACACCAGATACAGACTGGTTTTTGGACCCACCCGGATCCCCCCTGGAACTCCTCAATACATTAAAACTGCACATTTTAGAGAGGCCTTTTATTGTGGCCAGCCTAAGGCACACTTTTGCAATAATAATAATTTTTTGGTCTAATCAGCATCTTGATATGCCACACCTGTGAGGTGGATGGATTATCTCAGCAAAGGAGAGGTGCTCACTAACACAGATTTAGACAGATTTGTGAACAATATTTGAGAGAAATAGGCCTTTTGTGTACATAGAAAAAGTCTTAGATCTTTGAGTTCAGCTCATGAAAAATGGGGGCAAATTTTGTTCAGTGTAGGTTTGGAAACTTGTTTTGGTCCGAAAAGCAATTTGTCCAAATTTGGGCTGATTGGGTGATCAAAATGTAGCTGAGTAACAAAACAACCGAAACAGGCAATGGCCAAGCAAGTTCATTTTGATTCATGATTCTGAATTCTGCCCAATGAACAAACAAAAAGAGATAATTGATGGGTTGGGGACAGTCACTCCTATTTTACCCTCTGTTGGTTAATTTTCCTCACTTGACCTGTGAACCAAATTGGCGAGAAAATGCTCTTATTAGTGTCCTGCAAAATATATACATAGTATTTACACTGATTGGCCCATTGCTGAGCAGTTTTGGATCATCTGATTAATTTCCTCAATCAGTTTTTGGTACAGAAATCCATTATTTGTCGGCCTGCCAGAATTGTGTTCATTTTCTCGCTGTGAATAAGTCTAGTTCTTACTGTGATATTATAATACATTGCTCAGTTTCCATAGTAAAAGAAGAACATGGAGTAAATGGAAAACTATGGGGGGATCATGACCCCCTATTTTTAATACATAAAAAAAAATATTAAACGCAAAACTTTTTTGTAAAGTTCTCTGTAGATGCTCTGTTTAGTGAGTGTAGGCAGGCAAACCCCTATGTCACAAAGATGAGACCCTCCAGTCTGCAGCATCGCATTCTGGTTTGTGGGGCCTGATATTATCCAATAAATTTCTCTCCAGCAATATTAATGGGATAAGTAGTTTATCCCCCACTAATTCCTCTTATTACTTTGGATTAGTGTATTTGTTCTCAAGGCTGGCTTTAGATTGCCCTCTAAATAGCTGAAAATAATTATAATAATAGCAGATGGCTGCCTAATTTGGTATTCCTATGTGGGATTGCCATACACGAGGATACCAAATTAGGGAGCTATTTACTAAACAGCTAAAACATCAAAATATCTTTCAGTTGTTTATTAGATAGCTTCCTAATTTGCTTTCCTCATGTCGGATTCCTATATTTAGGGATGCCAAATAAAGGATGGTGTTACTGAATTGTGCTCTAATTTGGTATCCTTAAATATGGAAGTCCCACATAAGGGTACCAATTTAGAGAGTTGTCTACTAAACAGTTGAAAGACATTTTCTTCATTTTGATTTGTCAGCTGTTTAGTGGATAGCTCCCTAATTTTGTATCCTTATGTGGGATTGCCATATTTAAAGATACTAAATAAGGGAACTATCTGCTAAACAGGTACCTAATTTGGTATACTAAATTATTTCAATAATACATAAGGGTATCAATTTAGGGATTTATCTACTAAGCAGCTAAAAGATCACAACTATAGAAAGGACTTTTCTTAATTTCGATCTTTCAGCTGCTTAGTAGATAGCTCCCTAATTTGGCATCGTCATATTTAAAGATACCAAATTATAACGCTACACATTACCATGCACTTATACATACATTTACACATAATTCCAGACAGACAAACAGGTAATCAGACACACACACACACAAAGCAAAATAGGAAAATGGAATGTCATTATCCTGCGTATGTAGGTGCAAATGACGCTCCCAGTTTGTCTCTATGTCCCCATGTACTCTCTATGTGTCCATGCCCCCCTATGTGCCCATGTCCTCCTATTGTGTACATGTCCCCATGTCCTCCTTGTGTCCTTATCCCCACCTTTTGCATTAATGTTCCTTTTTGTGTCCACACCACCATGCCTCTCCTAGTTTCTTTAGTCCCACCATGTGTCCATGTTCCCCCACCTGTTCATGTCCTCCCCTTGTAGCCCTGTCGATGTGTCGATGTTTCCACGTCCTTCATTGTGGTCATGTTCCCCTTGCAGCCTTGACCATGTCCCCCCTTGTGTTTAAGTCCCCCATGTGTCCTCCATGTATCTCTTTGTGTCTATGTTCCTCCTTGTGTCTCTCTATTGGTGCACACACAGAACTCGGCTTTAGAGAGAAAAATCCTGACAGATAATCCTTAGTGTCAGGAGGGCTCTTACTGCCATACTGCACTGCCTTCCAAGGTAGTTAAAGAAAATAAAAGGTTTTAATTCTGGGACTAGAGACTGTGGACACAAGTGGAGAGGGAGTCTGGCACCTCTGATCTGCACGAGTCTGTGACAGCTACACTGTGCCCCTGTTGCTATGATGTTCTGTACATACCCCAAAGATTGGCCTTGCCTGCTCTGTATGTTTATATCAGCTATACTTTTGTGAATCGGACTATATGCAGTGATCAGCAGAGCCTCAGTCTGCACATATGCGATTCCAGACTCTCTCTCCTGAGATAACTCAGCACGCCACGCACACACAACATGGAAAAAATTGGTATTTAGCTACTAGAACAGAGAGTTCCAGCTGCCTGATTGACAGCTTTGATGATACTTATAGTGATCTTTTAAAACAGCTTGTTCTAGAACAGGGAAGTAATGAGTTAGAATGTAACAATTCTATGATATATGCTTTACATTATCATTGCGGCAAAAATTCTGTGCTCCAGCATAACGCTATCATCTTAAATACTGTATTATTATTAATTATAAAGTGTCAATAAATTCTGGTGGACTAACAGATAAGTATGTGCAACAAGACGAGTTGGACGCACAGGAACAGAGGGCATTGAGGGCCCTGTAAAAACAAGCTTACATTCTAGAGGAAGTGGGGTAGAGTGACATGAGAGGTAAAGGTAGGATGTGTTCCATGCATGGGAAAAGTAGGTTGGTAGAATAGTTTAGAACAATGGCTTAGTTTGTTAGATGACAGTAGGAGGAAGAGGAGAGGAAGCAAGGTGGGTTACTAAGGTTTGGGGAGGAATAGCTGTTTACAGTTTAAATTATAAACTTTCCTAAAGAAGTTAGTTGTCAATGGTTTGTTGAAGCAATAGAGACCGGATGAGAGTATAGTATCAACTCAACCTTAAAATTTCCACAAGGGTTATTGACTAAAGTTCACATAGCCCTGTACCGGACTGCATGATCCAGACATTACTCACAGTATTTATGTCTAGGCTAGTGCTTTCTAGATAGCAACTATAGTCAAGAAAAAATAGCCTCTGGCCCCATTTAAGATTAGGGGGGTTTATTACCTCCCTTATATCCTGTCCCACCATACTGCAGTTGGGGGCATATTTAATAAACTATTAAAGGGACACTATAGTCACCAGAACAACTACAGCTTAATGTATTTGTTATGGTGAGTATAACTTGTACCCTGTAGGCTTTTTTATGTAAACACTGACTTTTCAGAGAAAAGGCAGTGTTTACATTAAAGCCTAGGGACACCTCCAGTGGCCACTCCTCGGATGGCTACTGAATTAGTTTCCTGAGGCAGTGCTGCACATGGGGTGCATTATCAATGAGGAGATGCTGATTGGCCATAGCATTGTTTGGCTCTGCTGCGTTTGGACCTACTAGATGCTTTAGCTCCCGAATTGCTTTTGAATCGGTGATTATGTAACTGTCCAGGTCCTATACTTTATATTGGATTCAAATGTGAAAAGTACTGACTTTAAACTGACACCGAATGCTGCTGGCTGGAGTGAGCAGATTTGGTAAGGATTACCTATTTTCAACAGGGTTTGGCTTTAGTAAATATGAGAATTGCCAATCCAGTTGAGATGAGGCATCTGCAGTAAATTTTGGCCATACAGACAAAATTCAGTTGGATACAAAAAAAAACTATACCAACACCTAATGTGTATATATAGTTGATACAAGTGAAAAACACTTATTTTAAAAATTCAAGTATGACAGTCTCCCAGGTCATTACCCAGAATAAATTACCTTTACACAACGAAATACAGAACAATCAGATATATTTGGGATACGGCTGAAGATCTAGAACAAATTGGAAACAGAAACATATATAGTGTAATTCAGTTTAAAAAATAAATGTGCGTTAATGAAATGCACTCACAAGATAACGTTGGAAATAGCGCCCAAGGGTGCCTCCCCCGATAGCTGTGGAGGGGGGGGGGTGAAATATCCCTCCTGTTGCTCCGATAGTGTAGATATAACACAGGACTTCAAGGATGGCAGGAAAACTTCATCAGCTTTATTTGGGATAAACAATCACCCATAAATAATAAAGTATAAAACAGCAGAGGTCTCAGTTTCAGAGAATTGAGGGCAGCATCCGGTCTCCTTTCAGGGGTTCCCATCCGAACATTGACAAACACTAACCTTGGCTCTGTCACGCTTCTCACTGTGACATCCAGACAAGGTCACCCCAGAAGTGCCCAAAAGAGGATTTGAATCTGGGTACTTTGTGGTTCTAAGCCTGTGTTCCTGCCTCTGAACCACTTCAGTTCTGACAAAATGCAGTGTTTAGTAAATAACCCTGAAAGAGTGACTAAGATACTCCAGGAAATTAAGTTGACACATTGAATGTTGTAGCCTTGTGAGATGAACAGCTCATAGGTGGCAGTTTAAGTCTACAATAATTTTTTTCTTAGCTGTTCCTACAGACCTTGAAACACATTTTATTTACTAGATTTAGGTTGATACTATATTTATCCTACATTATTACAACAGCAATATCTGCCCATAGCTCCATTTTTGTATTTGTTATGTAGTAAATGTGTTTAAAGTACATAAAGACTGCATGTAGAAGATAATTCACTAACCTCTAAAAAAAATGTCTTCAGTTTTGCAATTTGGATTTTAATTGGGCACAGTTTAATGTTTAAGTAATACAATCTATTAGATTTCTGTTTCTTTTAAAATACAGCATTTGGATTTTAATTCTAGTGGTTCAGTCATTGGGACATGTCGGTGCCTCTAGTTCGCAGTGTATCATAGCTTGCTCTTCCTTGTGCAGGCTTGCACACAATCTATTTGTGAAACCTATTGATTGGGGGATAGCAGAAGTAAAACATGCAATGCTGTGACCACAAACAACAAAGAAAGGAAGTAAGGGGCCTTATGAGATCCTATCAGCTGAAGTCTCACTTCCACAAGGGTGGGGGTCCTAGGGGAACGTGTAGGTGAAGACTAAACAAAACTTTTAAATTACATAGGAATAAAAATGGTGCTCTCATTCTTTAGTTGGTAATTTCATCGTGCTTAGTGTGTAGAGAATATTTCACTGTGGTGTGCACCCAGAGATTCTTACTTTTTTTTTTTTTATATACAATGTGAATATTTACGGATTACTGAATCACAACAAATATTTTTTTTTTTCATTAACCAAGCTAAATGATTAAAAACAAGCCACATTTTAAATTGTCTAAGCTACACAGTCTCTGCTCTGCAGGTTGCCGTAGTGGCTATCCACCGGTTTAATATCAAACTGATCAAAAGTAGTGTTAGGTTTTTGAGGCAGTTTGACAAAAACTGGAGAGTCTTGAACCTTTTAGGATGATAACCTAAACACTGCAATAAGCTTAAATTCATAGCACCATAACCACTGCAATAAATGCACAGTACCATAATCACTAAAATTATCTTAAATTCCTAGCACCATAACCACTGCAATAAGCTGTAGTGCAATAGATGCAATGATGGAATGCCAATAAATTCCTAGCATAAAGACTAAAATAAGATGTCATGGTTGTGATTCCAATAGCCTACTAGCACTAGAACTACAGAGATAAACTGTTTTGGTTACGGTGTTTGGATTTTCTCATGAATAAAAATAAATTTCAGCGCATGGGCACATTGCACTAGGGAGACCACCATTCATGATAGATTTAGAGGGTTCGAGATAGCTGCCCAAAATTGGAACTTAGTGAAACTAATGTTCAGATAAATTGCGTCAGTTGACCTGCAGTGTCCCTTTTTCTTATCTCCCTACACCTGTTCATTTAATTCTCATTTTTTTCATTTATGTTCGTTAAAAATTTTCACTAGCCATTGGCAAGTGAAAATTCTGCCCTGGCGAGTGAAAATTTAACACTGGAAAGAGTGTTATGGACCCATGTGCGATAAATGAAGTATACCTTATGATTCATTAGCTTGTAGAACAACCTTTATCAGCAATAATTTGAAGTAATATTAATGTTACAAAGTATATTTGGGGTCCTCCTGTGAGAGGTTATGAGTTATATGTTTTGCCCCCCCAGCCGCCAGTGAGGGGGTTATGAGGTATATTTTGGGAGCTCATTTTCATTGTTTACAAGGTTTAGTGTAGGGTCCCCCAGTGAGGGGATATTTGGGCTCCCTCTGTAACGGGTTGTGAAGTATGTTTTGACCCCCCAATGAGGGGTTATGAGGTATATTTATGGTCCCCCAGTTAGGGGTTATTTTGTATATTTAGGGTCCCCCCAGTGAGAGGGTTATGAGGTATATTTAGGGTCCCCCAGTGAGGGGGTTGTGGCGAAAGTGACCTCGCCACTGGTTTTTGGAGGGGCCTGTTTGCCAACCTCCTGCCCTGCGACTATGGCTCTGGGATGT